AAGGTTTCCTGTATTGACTAAGCAAATACAACTTTTTTGTCACTTCAATAAGTAAAAGTCTTTTAGATGTGTAAAAGTATAATACACTGATTGGTTTGGTTGGATTTGATGTCATTACTTCTCTTCCTGCTGACCACTAACAGCTTCAGCCTTTCTGCAGAATGTGTCTGCATGGATTTCCTTTTGGATGAGCTCTTTGATAGAAGCTGGATATTTAGCATCAACTCTCTCTAAATTAAAGCAATTCCATGATGTTGAACAGCTGAGATTCTCATGGGTCTCTCAGACTGAGTCAGGTTGGTCCTGTGGCTGATGGCACATTTTCACTGATCAGTGGATTGTGCTGCTGAGACAGCCCTGTATCGTCCCAGCTCCAGAAGCTAACTGCAGAAATAGCTACATCTCTGCAAAAGGCCTAGGTTAACATGATTTACTGAGAGAAGAACAAGGGTAACAGACCCTGTTATTCAGATGCCTGATGTCCTCCCAGCACAGTTCAGTCCCTCAGGTCAAGAAATGACTTTCAAGTCTGTGACAGTCCCAGCAGTCATATAAGAGTGTGGATACTGTTCTTGCAGATGTCAATAATGTGAATGGTGACAGGTAGTAGTCTCAGTTACTATTTTTGCATTAACATCCACTCATTTTGTGATGGGGGAAATCCCCATTGTATAAAGGGGATCACAACTGAATTCTGTATGTATAATTTAAAAAATTATAATATAGTGAGTGTGCTAGGCCTTATGTACTTGCATCAGAATATTGTCCTTATTTATGGGTGGGTTGGTTGGTTGGTTGGTTTGTTTTACCTAGGAAACAGAGACTTCTAGGGCACAGGACCAGGCACAATCTCTAATGCTTTCTTTATTTCTATGTCACAATTTTTACAAGGCTCTTTATTGTCCTGGTTTTATCTATCTTTTGCTAAAATCAGTCAGATTCATGCACTTTCACTTTATGAAAGCAGTATGAAGGTAACTTGAGTAGAAATTTTCTGAAGGCTTTTGTCTCACAAGTCAGTGGAAGATGACAGCTACACTCCTGCTTATGGCCTTTATAGTGTTGCCTTGGAGTCTTCATAGTCACCGGAAACAGAAGTCAGTAAGAATAGAATTGTCTGCATCTCTGGAGCTCGTTTTATTTCTGGCAGGCTTGACATTTCTGACCAAAGGACACATTGTAGGAGTTTTTTGTCTGCTTCTCCTCTGGTGGTGTTTTGGTACAACTTCTTTTGGTGAAATTTCACATTGACATTTTGCGTGTATCACATATTCACAATTGCAGATGTCAGAACATTTATTTTTCCTAACACAGGCATACACATGGCATGTACTTGAATGGGGAAGCTGCAAGGCTGCTTGAAAGACAAGACTTAATTACAAGACTTAGACTTTACGGTTGGCAGTGCTGCTGCAGGTTACTGAACTGCAGAGGAAAAGACGCTAAGGCTCAGGCAGAGAAAAGTATGCAGAACAGGTAGCACATGTACTCTCCGTGCTGAGCACCTCTCCCAAACCTCTGAGGAATGGAATTTGGTGACAGGCTTCAAGGAGGTCTGTTCACATGAAGTGGGTCTGCACCTGAGCATCACAACTGAGTTCCATGAGACTCGATCTGATTTGTAACGTGGGACAAAGGCTGAATTTCAGAGAAACCACACAAAAAGAAAAACATATTCACAAAATCTATGAACTCCTTGGCTTGATTTGTGAAGCTGGATGAGGTCTGCATTAGATTAGTATAGCTGACCACTATACAAGGGGCAGAGATGTGGTTTGTGGTCTTAGAGGTTTCTTCCAAGGCAGAGTATAGAGAGATTATATTCCATTTAGTATTTCTTGACTTCTGGAGTACAACAGTTGATTTTCATCTACCACAGAAATGTCTACTTTGTTTTGCTACATGCTCTTTCCTCACTGTTCTTGATCTGAGAGTAGGTTGCAAAACAGTCTTCAGATTGCAGGTACACACCATAGACCATGCTTGGGGGCCAGATATCTGAACATCTACATTCCTTTGTGTAATTGGGCGCATCATACTCATCCTGATTAGCAGTGGTTGCCCTCTGCAACTGATGTGCATCTTCCATGAAAGAGATTTGATATGGGCAACAAAACCATCACTATGGCATGGTGCTTCACCTCTGCACAGGAGCTCAGAGACTAGTTCAACCTACTGTGAAAGGGGCTTTAGTGCTCTCCCTCTCTTCTCCCACTTCAACTCCTGACTTTTTATCTTTACCAGAGCACATGTGCTCCACTGAGAACATGAAGAGCTGGTGATGACTTGGGGGGTGAGGTGTGAATGGAAAGAAATGGCTAGAATGTCTTTAGCAGAAAAATAAATGCAGCTAGAGAATAAGACTTCTGGGATTTTGCTGCTCTGCCTGTTTTTCAGCAAGACAGGAGGGAACAAGAATAATCTTTACTCTCAGCCCTGTTTTCTTCCTCTTTCTTCATCATGTCACTCTGTATCCCATCTCTGACTCACCTCACCTTCTTCCTCTCAGCTCCACCTCCTGCTCAATTCCCAGAAGTCCTTTGGCAGCTCAGTTCCCTCTATTGCATTATTTCCTGTGACACTTTGAAAGCTATTTATCTGTTTTCTCTCCCTTGGTAGGCAAATCACTCATTCCAACCTAGAAATTCTCTTGATTAAATGACCATTTGGTCGAGGGGAAAGAACGTCACAATCATGTTGTGAAGTAACCATGGGAGGTTGGCATTCATACATATATAAGTACTGAAACACATCTGGGTATGAAAATTTCCCTGTTCTGTAGCAATCTTATATTCATGTTAATGAGGTTACCATAAAATGTTGCAGTAGAGAGGTTTGGGGTTTTTTTAATGTTTTCTCAGGATCAGATGTTTTCTGTCTGTTTCCTTAATTCATCTGATACTAACTACGTGGTTACAGCCAGCTCTGAGAACTTCTGCTTACCTACTAGGCACTGAGAAAACACTTTACTTGAACTGGAGTGCAGGGCAATGTCTGCATATATGTTAACCATGTGAACTTGACTAGCTAGTTCTCTTTGGAAGTCTTTAGAGATAAATTTTTGCTGCAATATTATGACTCTTTTAGGAATAAGCTTGCCTGCATGGCACTGCCCACATCTGTGATAGCTCCGAAAAGTGTGTTAATGTTGCAGTCTGTAGATTAGGCAGTGTTCAACTTGTCTGTATATCAGGGACATGGGTGCGTAGACATTTAAACCCAGCACAGAATCATGGTTTTTTTTTCAAAGTGTGCTCCAAAACCTGCCTAAAGCTTGTGTCTGAACATAGACATAAGCCCAAGCAACGCAGATGTGCAGACAGTGATGGTGACTGCAAGCTCTGGCTGGTATTTAGAAAGCAATGCATAGGTCCTCTAACAGACAATAACCTTCTGGAGACCGTGTCCACTCTCAGTGCAACACGCTGACAGAGACAGGAATTTCAAATAAAATAACATCCCAGCAGAACAAATAATGTCTTTCATCCTCAATACTAGTTTTCATTTGATTGACAGAACAATATAAAGTTGGTTATTTACATATTGACAGGACAGGGAAGCTCAGTCGCAAAGGTCGGACAAAATATCTACAGGATAAAGCACTGTAGATTTGGTGTATTTAAGGATGTATTTCACATCCTTCCTTTGACCACTAAACACAATCACAAAGGTTCAGATTTTAGGCCTCAAGCAAAACTGTAGCTTGGAAGAATTTTTTTCTTCTAAATCATTGACCTTTTAGATACTATTAGAGAAAAAGAGCTGAAGAGTGGAAGGAGAAATATTGTCTCAATTCTAAGAGCATGCGTCTTAGAACAACTCACCTTTGGATAGAATTGCTAAAAGGAAGATAGCTGTTGTTCTACAATTTGTTCTGTAGAAGTGTCTGAAAACAAAAATTATTTTAAACAGAAGTGAAGGCTCCAGCTATTATGTTTTGAGTGAGTTTTTTTGTTGTTTTTCTATCTAGATTTCAAGTAAGATTGCCAAATTGGTAGAGTTACAGTCATAAAGACACAGTCACTGTAGCCTGCTGTATTTCTTCAACTCTGATTTTAGCCCGCCTGAGGTTGTTGCGTACAAACCTGCTGTCCCTGTTCCCAGTGTGTTCTCTTCTAGAAAATGGCCATGATGGTGAATAATGTGCTCTCTCCTATCAGGGTTTCCACTGCCTTGCCTGACAGAAATTTAGCAACTTACCTGCACTTACACTTTAAGTGAGCTTGTATGTTCAGTTAGATGAGAGGGAACTTCAGTATTAAACAATTATCAACTTGTGTAAGTGGATTTGTTATGTTTTTTTTCACATCCTATGCAAAATAAATTTCAATATTTCTCTAATAGACTATTTTACATGAGATTTATCAAAGTTTATAAGATATACAGAAGACAGCATTGAGCCTCATCAGCATTACGGAAGTTTCTGTTTTAATGAAGATTTTGGGGGTAAATTGATATGAGTTTTGTATCTGTGTTTCATTATTTATTCAAGGAAAGATTCTGTTTGCTAAAGAAAAATGTGCTTTATGGAATACTGCTAGTAGTTTTCCAAAATGAAGGGATGTTTAAGGAAAGAAGTAGAAAAATAGAAGTGAGAGAAAAATATTTAATTAAGTGAAAAGGAGATATTTAGTTATGTACCTATTTTTATTTCTTCATTTACTAAGTTATATTTAGATTTTAAGAAATAAAGTATTTTACCTTTAGAATTCATACATTAGATCTGAATAACTCAGCATAAAATTTTGCATTTACATTGATCTTTTTATTTTCTTCAGTACATTTTTTGTAGTAAAATATTTTTCTTGATATGGCAATACACCTTACAGTTGGGTAGATAATGGAGTTGTCTTTTAGCATTTCATATTATTCTTTTTATCTCAGCAATCAATTTCATTATTAATAGAAACATTTCCCAAAGGAATGAGATTTGAAAAAATGCGTCTTGCTTAGTGTAGCAGTGAGTTACTAATTTGTCTTTAAAGATACTTATAGCGCATGACAGTATTGGCTTCTGTCAAAGCTTAGATGAGGTTACCAACTGGCAAACGGGGTAGACACATGTATGCATATGGTGTTCTGCTCAGGTTGATGGGATTACCATCCAGTCTGATGTCTTCAAGCGCCCTTCGTACATAAGTAAAATCTTTCATTTTGCAGAAAGTGTCTTCGTGCATCTCTTGAATGTTGTTATTCTAAACAAACAAAGAAAAAAGCTATCAGACTAGTTTTCTGAAAGCAATTTTTTATTTTATGAAGAACAATTTATGGATGTATTTTCAGTGTCTACAGAGATACTCATTTGAACCCAAGGAACCAGATTGTGGCTGCCAGTCACCAACAGAGAAATGTCCCAAGCAGGGGTAAATTTCTGAGCCAGTGCAAAGCTTCAAATGTGAGTAACTCAAAGCCTGTGGCAGAGACAGGCTTTGCAGAAGAGACCTGGTAGAAATATAGAGCACTTTCATTGCCAGTATCATACTGAAGAGCCTTATTAATGCAAATTGGAACCAGCACAGGCCAGTACAAAAATCATAGAACCATAATTATCATCCTGACAACTTGATTCGCCTCAACCTGCAAAGACACAAATCTGCAATTTGATCTGTGACAAATTTCTTTCCCCAAGGCTTTCTCACATTAACTTAACCCACATCTATATATATCCAGGGAAAATGGAATGCTTTAGGTTTTATTCCTTTGATGTAAATTCCCCTTATATACCTCATCTTCACTGAGCTTTTGTTCTTAAAGTGAACTATTTTTAGCAATGAATTGCTAGAATACAATATTGTTGGAAATTGAGACTAAAAAGATCATCTGTTAAAATGAAGGCTCTCTGAAAAGTCTTCCCTTCTCCATTCCTTTGCTAGTGAAAAACTGGCATGGAAAAAATCTAGCTCACTAGCTTTGGCCTGTAGCACATAACACTGAATATTTAATTTATGGTCATGGGCAGATGAAAATACCAGTCAGCTAGCAGGCAGAATATTTCTATGGATTTATTTATTGAAATATAGAAGTCAAATTATGTACAGTACACCAGGACATTTATTAAAAGCTTTTTTTCTGTATTAGGTAATAAACAAAAACTTCTTCAGATAATCAAAACTGGGAATTGGTACAAGAGGAGATAAAGGGAAAGAAGTTGAAATGGAAAAGGTTAAAAGGAAGAAGTCAGAAACAATAGTATAGATAAAAAGCAAATATGAAAAGTAGTAATACAGACAGATGAGGGTTGAGATGTTCCATCACAGTCAAATGGAAAAGTTTAGCTGAAAAAGATTTTAGCAACTGGGAATGACATTTATTAAGAGAATGATATGCATTGGTACAGTTACAATCAGTATATAAAGTAACTTTCTTTGGGTATCTAAAAGCATTCCTGTTGGAAGATTTGTATAAGCAGCGTAAGGGATTTCTGTCTTTGAAGTTTCTTAGACTAATGTTACTCTTGACAGCTGTGAAACTAACTTTAATATGTACTAACAATAAATCTAGAAATTTGTGTTTGAAAAATACTGTATTACAAATTCTAATAATTATTGCTTAGTTGACCTAAATTTTACTTCTTTCAAACACTGTATTCACTAGTTAACTGTGTTTCCAGGAGTTTGTTTAGTTAAGTAACTACATATTTGGATAAATAGGAGAAACAAAACAAGGCAATAGTTACCCTTTCCAGTTTTATTTAGTTTTTGAACATGATCTATAGACCCGTTGCTTTTGTAGCCTACCTGAAGATGAAGAGCTTGAAGGCTTTCAGGGAGCGGCAATGGAATATGATCTAAGTTATTGTCAGTAATGTAAAGATGCTGCAGCTCATGCAGATCCTAGAGGATGAAGGAAAAAGGTAGGGGAAAATGATAGGCATTTTTGAAAAGCAAGTAAGTTTTAAATCTATCACTGCAGTGAACACTGCTGGATATTAACTTATTTTGATTCGGCATGATATGGTTGAAAAGGAAGAAATTCAAAAAGACAGTCATGAAGTTTCATTTGCACAGGCTGAGAATTGTTACTGTTAAAGATCAGGTGTTTGGATTAAAATAAAGGAAAAAATATTTGAAGTGTCTAGAGACTTAATAATTAGAGATGTAATTTCAGTGATGATGTTCTAAAGTGAAAATACTGCCTTACCCAGTCATTATGCAGAAAGGATTTCTATTCTGTCTCTTTCCTTGCTTTTGTGACAAGCTTACTCAATTTTGCAGAAGTGTATTGGTGTCAAAGCAAATTCAAACTACACAATAAATGCCTGAGCTAAAAATCATCAAGTAGCTTTCTGGAGTCTTGCTAGTCATCTGCATAGTTGGTTCATAGATACAAACATTGTGTGCCATCATATCTTGTGTGAATCTTTGTAAAGAAGAATAAAGAAGGTTCTCGTGTTCAGCTCATACATCTTGCTCCATCTTTATAGATTGCTGAGCAGTCAGCATATTCATGGTGCGCATAATCTTAATGGTTTTACTGCTGTAGAAGGACACTTAGGCTGCTCTTCTGACCGCATCCTTTGGAGAGAGGGAGAAAATATTTTTCCATCAAACCCAGACTTACTTTAAATGCCTCATTACGTATCCCCTTGTGACCAAGCCTGTTCTTACTGACATCGATGAATTTTAAGGTAGATGGTAACTCAGGGAGTTGCCTTATCCTATTGTCACGGAGCACCAGCTCCTCAAGTTGGGGCAGTCTCCGGAAGGCATCTTCATGGATCTCTGATATAAAGTTTGCAGTCAAATCAATCCGCTTTAAATTGTCTGGCAGAGACATAAGATACAACAAGCATGTAAGAAGGTATTTCCTGAAAGTTTTAAAAAAGAAAAAGGCAAATGTGTTGCTTAGTTGACAGGTGAGGTGTCTTGAATCAGATCCATTCCTGATGCACTGTGTGACAGCTCTCTCTCTCTCTGTATAGTGCAATAATCTGTATTTGAACAGTTCTCCTAAGGAATGGGACCAACATCTCCTCCTGTTTAGAATTGCCTGTGTCATTCATAAATCTTTCAGTGAAAGATTTTTTAGTTAATACTTTTAAATTTTCTGTGTGTTCTGGGAATTTTTTAAATGGTTATCTTTTGAAAAAAAACCTAACAAACATTTAAAGGGAAATGAACATATTCTCTACCACCTCGTTCCACATGTTTCTTTAATTTCAACATTTTCCTATATGTAAGCAGTTTGTTTTATATATATATATATATATATGTATGTAGAGACACATATAAGAGAAAATCAAACTTATTTTTAGCAAAAGAGAACAATGTTTAACTATCAGTGCATTAATATACATTAATTTTAAATGCATTATTCTGTACCTTATTTCTGTTTTCCACACAGAATGTTTTTCACAGTTATTTTATTTTATTTTATTTTATTTTATTTTATTTTATTTTATTTTATTTTATTTTATTTTATTTTAATTATTTTAATTTTATGCTAGCAGCATATTTTAGCCTAAATTTTTCTCTCTTCTTATCATTTATCCCCCTTGTTTTTTATAAATACCAGTTGTGTTTCTTCCCAACCTTCATCTTGATTTTAGCAAGCCAAACTTTCATTGTTTTCTTTCATAGAAGGATCACTGCATTCCCCTGAATTACTGCAGTAGCTTTTTTTGGCACTGATTCCACACTTCTCATAATAAAATCAATAAACATTAGTTACACAAAGTTAGGTCTAAAACAAGAAGAATGTGGCTTAATATTCAGGCTAGTGAGTGTATAGCAGTTGCTATCCCTAAACAGGGTAGGCTTAATAATTCCTGAAAAATCAGGTATCTTTAAGAATCTCAAGTAGGAAATGTGAAAATACAATCTTCCTACATCACCAGTTTTGGCCAGTTTTAGGCTATAAATGGTTTTGGATTAACAGTTTTCATTCATTGAAGATTTATCTAGATAATTCTGGAGTAAACCAATCAACATGTATTTTAAAAGTAAAACTTAAAGGTAAAATTCATTTCACACAGATACTTTGCAAATACTTGAAAGTATGTCTACCTGAAAAATTGTCTTGTTTAGGAAAAGAGTACTTCCTAATATGCTATGAAAGTTCCATGAGGTTTGGTTTTTTAACAAATAACAACATAAAGATAGATGAATGTTGTTATTTCTAATAATTAAAAAAAAAGTCAGAGAATCTGCTTTTGAAATATTGAACTTTATGTTCAAAAGTAGCAAACCACTTTTCCATGTGTGCATTTATGTGTATAATCCTACTGTCATCAAACATTACTTAAAATGAATCACCATATCTTAGATTAGTATGAGGCAGAAATAATAGAAGTTAAAGCTAATTTCAACAATATCACTATCCATACTTAAGTTAGCAAAGTCATTTCTGTTGATCTTCCTGATTCTGTTGTAGCGTGAGTAGAAATACGTGGTTTTCTTAGGCAATGGTGCAACAGCATCAAGCTCATGATCATCACAGTAGACTGTGGTTCCTAGGCATTTGCACAAAAGGCAAGTAGGAAGCTCTGTCAAAGAATTCAAAAGAAAACAAGTTGTTACCAAAAACATATATAATAATGATACGTAAATTGCTACAATGAAACGCTCACCTAAGCTCATAATGATAAGATTTTGTTGATGATAGTTTTTGATTATATTTTGATCACCACGTCATATACTCACAAAAAACAAAGCGATTTAATTCTGTTTAAAATTATTTTTTTTCTGCCTGTGCCTCTTTTAACTTAATTTAATAAGTATTTCTCAGGCTATAACAGTAGAATATTAGGTGACAGCAACCTACTGAAGATCAGTTTCCCCCCTAAGCTGGCAAGTGTGCACTTCCATCTAGATGGAGAAATAGCAGCTGATGACTGAAATTTGTTATGCTTTCCCAAATTTCATTCTGTAAATAGTACATCTGAATAATTTGTAAAGACATTAATATTTTCGTACAGAACTGTGTTGAAGAAACTCTGCTTCCTTTGCATGTTGTTTAATTACATTTTCTGATTCAGAAATCCATGATCATGAAAAATTTATTTATCAGTCTGAGTTAAGGTAACTTGAAGATGATGTAAACAAAACATTTAGTTGCCACCAGGAGATCATGAAAATGAAAAATCAAGTCATGGCATCTCAGTCCTAAAACACTGCATGAATACAGTGAATTCAAAAATTTCTTTTGATGATGCTGTTCAAATTTGGTGAGAATTATGACACTAAGCAGTTTGAACGCAGTTTCCATTAGGACAAATCGTTAATTGCTATATGCATTGAATTCTTTGATACTTTTCTTTGATTATGGGTGTAAGTCAGCATATCTGCTTCTCAGCTTTTGCTCCCATAAAAATGCTTTTCTTTCATTTTTTTCTCCTTGTAGCAGAAAGCTGTTTGTTGGTTACTTTATAAAATAGTAGCATAATTAATGAGTATGAAAACAGGTTTTTTCCAGATCATTTTTTTTTCTCTAGATAAATTATACCTACATGGAAGATTTACCTTCATAATCTGTGTCAATTACCAATAGGCAGCAGTAACTAACTGACGAGTGGGCTATATACGTGGTGTCTTTCTGTGATTAAAGACCAGAGTACTCTTTCATTTGAGAATCTCTTCTTGGGCATCCAGGAATAGTGTATCTGGAGAGATAAGACTCTTCTTAATTTTTCCCTAGCATCCTCCAAAGGTCATTTTCAATTAGCCACAGGGAGCAAGATTGACACAGGAAAAGCATATATTGTCAGAACTTGAACCATTCCAGCAAATATAGGCCTAAATGAATGTAAAGTTCAGGATGGATGGCATTTTATCAAAATATTGCAACATAGCACAGAAAGAGATTTTCCCCCTCTGTCCTATTTTTGATCTTGGATGGGTGGTGTTTGTCACCTGTGTCTGCTGTAGACTGAAAAAGGACAGAAGTATGGGAAGAGTTCAAAAGATATCAGCAAGAAAAATGAACTTGGCTTGATGTTCCTCAGCCTTTCTTCTGTCCCGTACCAAGCCAAGAACAGCAGCAACATCTGACAGGAAAATATGTTGCTGAAAAGAAAATCGAGACACAAAACCTCCCTGATTTGATATGTTACAGCCTTGAGCCTCCCATGCATATCTTTAGTTGTTGCACCAGTTGATTTGCATTCAGTGCTCAAAAATGTTGACAGATACAGAATTCATAGTATGTAATATTTATGTGAAGTGTTTTGTAACATCCTGCAGCTTTCAAAATTGAAGGAAATTGTGTGGTTTTTTCACAACTCTCCTGGGATATTCTCAGTTCCATTTTTATTTGTTTTGACATCAGTGTGTTTTTTTGCCTGGTCAAGGCTGACTAATATGTATAAAAACAAGACTAAGAATGATTAATTTCTCTTCACTGAACACACAATTTTGGAAGCATGAACTTTTTTTTCCCCACTTCATTTGTCTTCTGTGGCACTCAGTTATAGTGTTATGCGCAGAAAAAAATAGGCTTTCCCTGTTGTTGTATGTTGATCACCATATGATACAAAGACCCATCACACCAGCAGATAACTCTAGTGAGCTTCACCTGCAAGAGTTTAAAGTAGCTGCTAACAAATGCTCTTAATGATGTCCAATGATAGGACAAGGGGCAATGGGAGCAAGCTGGGGCACAGGAGGTTCCATGTCAGTCCCTGTCAGCTCTCCTCACAGGAGTGCTGGAACAGGCTGTCCAGAGAGGTTGTGGAGTCTTCTTCTCTGGAGACATTCAAAACCAGTCTGGACGTGTTCCTGTGTGACCTTGTCTAGGTGATCCTGCTCTGGCAGGGGGGTTGGACTGGATGATCTTTCGAGGCCCCTTCCAACTCCTAACATTCTGTGATTCTGTGATTGTGTGATTCTGTGATTCTGTGAAATGTCAGTTATTAGCGTTACAGTGTTTGTGTGGGAGAGGGATAGACTGTGTTTTACAATTTTAATTCCCCTGTGAGATGCAGGAAGATCTTATTTCACTACTCAGAAGAACAAAAAATCAGCTTCATTCAAAATTTCTAAATAGTTCCCTTACCTTAATTTTCATAGTTTCTAGTTTTCGTGGTCAAAAATTGTTCAACATTTTAATTATATTTTGTATATTTTACATTTATAAAAATCTTTTAACAAATCTTATAAAAGATAGTTGGTAATGATACTGGAATCTAAGTCAATAAAAAAGTCCTGGTAGAAAATTTTCCTAATGTTGTACGTGTTTAAGTGTTAATGAAATTTGATTTGAAAAAAATATTACTTGGTGCACAGTTATTTTCATAGTGAAATAGTGTGAAAACATTTTGACTAGGCACTTATCTGACTTCACTACATTCAAGATAACCATGTTATACCTCTCTACACTAAAAGAGGTACAGAAATTATATACCTCTTCTTCAGTAAGAGAGGTAGACATTCCTAAGAAAGCAAAGTGGACTAACGCAAAAGCAAAGCTACACATGCAGAACTCATTTCTCTTTCCTACTAACCGTCTTGAGTTTGGAGTCCAGCAACCCCAGACCCCTGTGCTGAAGACCCATCAATTAATTTTGGCGTTGATGCTTCCTCCTCAGGTTCTTCTGTCAATGGAGCAGAAGAATAACTCTCTTGAATTACAGAAGGTAGTTCTGTCCCAATCTCTGTCTAGGGAAAATTAAGAGGGAACAGGAAATGTTATCGTTTACTTCCACTGGTAGTTGTTTTTCTTCCAGTTATTAATATTCTCCCACTAGAGGTCATATATGTTCTGAGATTTAGTGCTGGAGCTGCATTTTATCTGGCAGCTATAATGAATTCTGATGATGTGTAAACAAGTCAAGAAAACTCCAACATGCTGCTTCCCTTTTATCTCAGTGTTTTAAATGTTTTGTTGTATGCACACATGCATGCACAGTGCATCTACTTCATTAGCAAGAATATGGACTAATAAAATGCTTAATCTACATTTACTTAAGGTTAGATTTGTGATAAAAATGGATATATTCTGTGTGACAAATTGAAAATTTGTTGTGAAGCATCAAAAAGATGCAAGACACTTGACCATAACATTTTAAATTGCCCTGCCATAAATACAAACCTATGCAGGCTCTGCATTAAGAACATTAATATGCATTAAAAATCTTGTTATCTAAGAATAGTCTTAGAACAAAAATCTAAGAGTAACTTAGACTGAAGTTGAAGTTCACATACTGCTTGCGAATATGTTGGCAGCATTTTCATCAAATTTCTTGCTCAGTCTGAGTAACAGAAGGCTCTGGTTCGCTTCATTCGTCGGTGGCTGCATTATATCATATGAAAAATTAAGAACATACATAAAAAAGCTAGATAAAATCTAGATGTAGAAAAATCCTATAAAATTTGGCAGATACTTTCATTGGACTAGAAATCTTATTTTTTGTTCTTCACTCAACAAAATTAGTCAAACCAGTGAATTTCATTGTGTTAACTCTAATTCTTAATACACATTCTTTTGATGACAACTTCAGGATAAAAATTAAGATGTAGCAATTTTCTGGCATTGTAAAATAAACTCCTCATAAAAGGAGTATTGCAGACTTGCTAGGCTTTTTGCAGAGGGGTCTATGTTTGCAAAGAGTCAGAGTGGTTTCCTGTAATCACCCAGACACTGAGAATCCACTCTAGTTGTGTGACCTTTGCAAACTGCTTTACTACTGTATCTTGTTTGCCCTGTGTGCAATAATATTGTTTGAACACCTCAGGGCTGCCTTTGAAAATGCACTTTTAAAAAAAAACCAAACTCTGACAATGAATTAGTGTCCTTACAGTGCTTTGTACATCTGAGGTAATGTTTAAAAGTTAGGTAATACATCCATCTCTGTGGGTGCTGCACCTCTGTGCTGCAATTAACACTCCTTAGCCTATATTTAAGGCATGATCAAAAGTAGGAATTTCGTCGCAGTATCTTTATCCAAAGTGCAAAGGCAAAGAGCCTAAAATTATGCTTTAAGAACGATTTTCCTCCGCTGCAGCCTTCTAGCACACCCACCACCATATAGCTATTGGAAACTGAGTCTTTTCAGCTGACCAAAACATCTCCTGTTTTGCGATCAGGCCCTATATACTGCTGGCTTTGCTGTCCCTGACTGTTGAAATCACTCACACTAGTGCTCATAAATTCTAGTCATAAAAGACAGCTAAAAGTAGATGGCATCCAGGCTGGACAAGAGGTTAGGATTTTTTAAATTAGGATTTTTATGTAGACCATACAAGTTAAAGGAACTAACACTCCTGAGATCTAGATCCCAAGCAAGATTTTGCTGTGTTCTAATCTCTGTGTGAATCTCTTAACTATATAATATTCAGCAGAGTTATTTTTGGTTTATTATTTCTGGATAGGATAGATTTTAATTATATTTATGTGAAATACCTATATACATTTGTATGTATATATATACTTACCACAATTTTGGAAGAAAACACTTCACACTTTATAATGGAGACTCTGGATCTTACAGTGTAGCTTTATCTCATTACTAGCAGTATTAAACATTACGATCCTGAACTACTTGAGAACATCTAAATAATAATCTAAACCCCACTTTTTGCACAGAAATAATTTGACTTGATTTATATAGTGGCCATGGATTAAAATATTTTGCATCAATTCGTTTCACTGAAGACAGAGAATATGGAAGCAATGAAAAACCAGGAAGCACTCTGAACCTCACAGGCTCAGATTTTGACTGAGCCCACTTCAGGCCCTCGTAAATTCTTTAATTGTAATGCAGTAAGCCATAGATATGAGTAGGTTTTATGGACAAAAATGCCCTGATACAGTTTCTAGGATCATAACTTCACAAAATGCATGGTGATCAAGTGAGCAAGATGAACTTCATCTGAACTATGGCTGAGTAACCTGTTGGTGTAATTAAGAGTAAGGATGTAGCTTGTTGCTTTGTGCAAATACACAATGTTCCCATCTGCAGCACTGACAGTAGAACAGCTTAACCAGGAATGGACTTGGGGACAAATCAAAAGAAGACTTTGGGAACAAAGGAAATGGGACAGATGTTCTCTGAATGGAGGAAGCCTAGAGGGAGAGATGCATTCCAGACTGTTATTTACCCAGGGTACTAAAGTGCTTGCACATGCAGTGTACTTCTTCACCAGTTTGTGGTAATCAGGTAAAAGTCCCCATCCTGAACTTTGGAACAAAATCCAGAGTTTTTGAGACCTTGTAACAGCTTTGTATGCATCTTTTGTGACAGTTCTACTGAAAATAATATTCTGGAGAAGAGAACTTTCCAGATACAGTTTTTAGATAGACTTCAGTCCTAAGATTATGTTCCTTTCACTTGTCATGAACACTGGCTGCCACTTTTCTGAATATCTGAGGTCATACTGTATGGAACTAAGTAGCTTGGGATTTATGATTTGCTTTATGCTTTCTCAGGTTTTAATCATTGTAGCTGCTGGGTACCAAAACAGAGGTATTAACTTCTAGTAACTTTGTTTCTAGGTTATTATCTATTTTTTATTACAGGATATTATTTAGTGTTGGAGATGCACAGTTGAAAGCCTCTCCATAGTTTCTTTTCCATTGTGCCAAATCTGGGTTTCAGAGAAACTGTTCCAAGCAGTTAGCATCAGTATTTATTCAGTCTCCTGCACCAGTTGTGACTGTCATTAAAAAGTACCAATTATTACAGTGAGTTTTATGATGCTATTTTTACACTGGTAGCAGAGTAGGAGTTCACTGATACATGTGTATTACATACCAGACCCAGAGCACAAGCAGTATTTGCTAGCTGTACATGGGTTGGACTTGAACCAGTAACCTAAAGGTGAAAGTCTGTTTCCCATTATCAGTCATCTGATACATGCAGCTTTCTATCTTTTACATATTTGATAAATTATACAATATTGTAACAAGACAAAGATGTTACTTGGACTACATATTGTACAGAATGATCCATCATCTTCCAGATGTTTGTCTATTTTTGGCAACATGCACTTTACTAAAAAAATTGAAACAGAAATTATTCTATATCACTTAATAGTGTTATTCTCCATAGGTTTTTGGGGGATTTCAGAGTGGGGTTGTATTTCCTTTGCAACTCTAATATTCTTTATGAAAAATCACAAAGCAGGAAGAGTATTGTAGAGAAATACAATAAAGCATGTCTTTCCTTTCCAATAATTGCAAGTCAATAATCAGCCTTCCAAGCCAGATTTAATACATAAGAAAATACTGAAGGGGAATCACGTCACTTACCTTTAGCTGTCTTAACTATGTGGCTAATAGTTACCCTACTCCATCTTTGGAGTCAATCAAGAGAATTAGGGAATACCAGTGCAGAATATTAGCCACAGAGCATGCTGTAAGCAAAGTAGTATCTTTCCTACGGTTGCATGAAGTATCTGTTTTTTCACCATCCTGTATTTATCCAGTGTGCCTACATTTACAAATGAAACTGCTTAATGTGGATGGCCAATTTAGAGGCACTTTCAGACCAGGAAGTTGCAAAAGTCAAGAACACAGAAATCTGAACATATCAATGAGTGATAAAATACAATTGGTAAAAGTCAGCTCATAACTTCAGTCATCCATAGGCTAGATATCTAGTCTACGCTAGCATCCTTTCACTGTCAGCAGAAAACAAGACAAAACTTCTGAAAAGCAGCTCCAGTCACTGACCACAGATGCTTCTTTTAGGATGGGCTTTTTAGCTCTCTGTCTCTCACCATTGGCTGAAAAGGAGGCAAGACAAATGAAAAGGTTTTTAAGATTATAAACAGCTCAGGAAACTGAGCTGTGAAGAAAAAAGAGAAAGTAAGATGTAAGAGTATCTGTGGGCTTGGCGTAAGTAGAGGTGGAACAGAATAGAAAGGTAGATAAGAGTAACCCATATGAGGATTATGGACCCACATAATCTGTGCAAAGTGATAAAATACAGAAAATAAATAGATTTAAAGAAGTAAATGGCAAGGGTGGAAGCCATCAGTTGGCACATTTTACTTCTGAGGTGATATAATTCTAGTGACAGATGTTTTGTCTGTTATTTTATGTCTACATCTTTTCAGATCAAAGTTGATATATTACATATAATAAATTTAAATCCACAGGAGAATCTGGAGTGTGTTCTTTTTCAGTGCTTCTTTTACTGCAAAAATATACTTAAAAACACAATCAAAAGTTCAGAACTTAAAAAGAGTTATAAACTTGAAGGGACAGTTGTACCACACACTGACCCATCAAAAGGAACTTGTTTACCCCACAGCTGTTCTGAAACTACCAAAGGCTTACGAAAAGATGTCTAATTATGGTAGAGGTTTTTGGTTTGTTTTCCTTTCCAAAAGTGGCTCATACTTGTTTCGTCTTGAATTTCGCATTTACAGTCTTCTTTTCTCCTATTGTTCTATCTTAAAAATAAATAGATCTGTAGGCCATTCCATATTAATGCAATAACTACTTAGATTGCAATTTCTGCAGCTCAGATGAATTGCCATTTTCTTGTACAGAGCTACATGAATAAGTTGCATGGAGAAATTAGTGTAATAAAATTCAAGGAGATCTTGAGGAAAGAGAAGGTGATATTACTTTACAAAATTTCTAACTAAACTGATTTTACCTACTCACACTCATTCTCTCTTATTTTAATCACTTACACGTTTATACCCAC